CCATGTCTTAGAACTGGGATCAAGTCTCTCAAGTGGCTGATGGGATTGCCCCGCTACCACTATGGTCCAGTTCACAAACATCATAAAAGCCTGCTCAGGAGCAGCTTATCCATCTTATTTTGAAAGTGCCATAAAATCTACATTTCAATCTACAAGGAACGAAATGAAAATACAGCAAATGTCACAGAACACCCCAGATGAAATATCTAAGAGAACACGTAGTCTGCTCTCCCCGAGTCTGAGTCTGCCAACGACCCAGTTGCTCAGGTCTTAAATACTCTGGCCTTTCTCTCATAGCTCATTCTCAACCTCTGAACAAATCATTGGCCTCTGCTTTTACAAGCTATCTCAAATACAACCATTCCTCACCACCTCCTGTTGCTATCATTCACTGGCCCATGCCAACACCTTACAACTGCTCTGATGAATCTTCTCCATTCACAGCATAGGAAAATTTGAAGTCCTTCCCATGGTCTGCAGGCTTAATATGGTCTGGCCTTCTGCCTTTTTCTTCTTTCTTCCTTTTTTTCCTTCTTTCTTTTTCTTGTTGTTGTTATTACTATTTTGAGACAAGTCTTACTTTCTAGTTCAGGTTGTCCTAGAACTCACTGTGGTTGGCCTGGGCTCCATGTTGCTGCACCTGCCTCAGCCTTCCCAGCCCTGGATTACAGGCAGAAGGCACCAAGCCCAGTCTATGGCATTTTACATTTCTAACCTCATGTCTTCCATTCTTTTCCTCATAGGGTTTGACTCAACACACCAAACACTAATCCTTTTTTACTTTGACATTTCTTCCTTGGTAAAGAATATTCTCCCTAGTTGGTCAAGTCACTGATGTCTCCATAATAGATCTTCTTGGCCTTCCCAGCTAACGTAACCACCCTTCCTGACCACCTCCCTGTTTTACATTGACTACCATGCCCCACTTTGTTCTTAACATTGATACCATAAGTCAGCTCCCTAAAAACAGAAGCTCTGTCTTCTGTGGGCCACCGACTCCTCAACACCTAGAATAGAACCCTGCGCATAGGAGATGTTCAGTTAAACTTACTAGATGAGATGGCAAGGTTGTTGCCCAGTGAGAGAACACTTGCCTAACACGTATGAAAACTTCTTCCTTTATTGTAGTATTATATAGTTTTTCTTTTGACTGTAAGTTTTCTTTTGTTATCTTATCTTTTCTGCTTAACACTGCAATTAAAAAATAAGCAATAGAGCGAATAGGAAGTTCTGGTGAAGAAGAGAATTACGCAGGTATTTGTTGATTACCTTCTGCTCTCTGTCTATGGAGAGAATGTGGTAATATAAAACAATGTAGGAGAGACCAAAAGAAACAAAAGCAATCAAAACTGTAAACAGGCACATGCAACATATAGCATTAAATGCTGTGTTTGGTGATGAGAACGTGAGCCTTTCCAGCTTACGAAAGAGAGGAGAGATCCCAGAGCTCATGTCTTTGCTACAAGTTGTAAACTACACAGAATTTAGTTCAGTAAGAGAGTAAGGAGAGGAGGGAACAGGGAGCATGCCAATCAAAGAGAATATATACAATGCTTTGCAGTGAGGTCAGGCCATTCAGGAGCCTGTCTCTCAGCAGAAGACAGACATGCTGGTTGTCAATGTCTTCCATAGGAAGTCATTTCACTGGTGCTCCTCTTTCTCCATCATAAAATGGGGCCGCTTGTGGCCATAGCTTTATGTGACAATAGTACCTACCATCTATTAGATGCTTATGAAATGCCAAATGCCAAGGTCATTTAATCATCACTTCAGCCCAGAGATAGCTACTATTGTTTTCCCTAGTTTACAGTTTTAGATGAAGGCTTACAGAAGTTAGTCTTTGCCAACTTTATACAGCCAGGAAGCATCAGAAGTAGGTCTTGAGCACCAAGCACCAACATCCTAGAACATAAGACTTTAAACACTACAGAGATCCTATGTATTGAATGCTTAGAAGTTTTATTATTATAATAGTTTTAATAAATATAAACATAAAACAAGTACACATATCTCAATTGGCTTCTTAAAAATAAACTAGATGTGGAAAACAGTGACTTTTTTTTCCACTTCCACATAAATACAAACTTTCTGAAACCTCCTCAACATTAACATCAGTGTCAAGTGTTAATAATGATGTCAGATGCTCACAGCCACAGGCCATGTTTGATGGGCTTTGCCCTCTTGATGATCTTAACTCCCTGACAAAGGGATTACATGTAATTAAAGATAAAGAAAACTAAGCTCAGAAAAGACGCATAACCATCTCAGTCACCTGCTGAGAGAGAGGAAGCCATAATTTGAACTCAGATATCTCTAATTCTGTGGTCAGCACTCTTTTCTGTGTTGTCTTACTAAGTCAACACAGCAAACACACAGCTAAAGACAAAGTCATCACAACACAGTAAACAGCAATATCCCTCAAATGGGAAAGAATCCTGCCTTACAAGGCAGGGTTACTTTTCACCCTCAAAGTTCAGAGTATTCTAAGACTCAAGGTAAAGAAGTAAACAGATAGGTAATTATTATAATTCATCTGTGAATTATTGATGATAATCAGCATATTAAATATGCTTGCAAATAGCATTTTGAACCCTATTTCATGCATCTGTTTTTCCACAGGGTTCATGCACAAATAAAAAATTTCAACTGAGATGTTAGTTTTTCTTTCATGTACTGTTTTTGCATAGTTTTCACCTTTCTACAAACTTTAAAACTATTATAGGCAGTAAGCATATCATAATTTGCTTAACTAATTCTTACCGAACATAGTTCCAATTTTCCTATTATTGTCCATACCGTAATGACCATCTTTCTAGATTAAGGTGACAGTTTCATCCAAAACCTTTGAATTTTAAATCCATCTCCTTTGAAGGCACAATAGACTTCACTGATATAAGTAACTCCAGTTGGGACCATCTCAGGCTCTGGCAAGTACGCAGAAAAAACACTCACTGTGAGTGATCCTTCCAGCCATCTCTAATTGCCCTCTCAAGGTGACTGCCTCCTTTGCCAACTGAGAGGTTAGTTTGGGATAGCACTGGGGAAGTTTGGGAGCCAGGGAAGTTCCTAGGAAGCCTCCAGTGTGATATAAGCGAAGGGCTATCATGTCAGGCAGAAGAGATAGATGGACTGAAACAGGCTTTGTCATGAATCTTAGAGACAGCAGAGACTTAGGGCATTATTTTCTTCCCCACTTTATGAACAAGGCCAATATCTAGTAGCAAAGAATGGCAAATAGTCTTCATTCCATCATCACCTCTGAGGGTACGTGGAGCCAAAGGATGAGGTGTTAACTTAGTCACTGTTGATGGGAAGGTTATGGCCATCTCTGAGCATCTATTCCAGACAGAAGATAATTAACAGGTTGGGGGTCACAAGTTGTACTGTTTTCTTAAGGTTTTAAAAATATTAATTCTTGCTGGGTGTGTTGCTGGCTGCCTCTAATCCCAGCACTCAGGAGGCAGACCATTCTGTGAGTTTGAAGCCAGCCTGCTTTACAAAGCGAGTTCCGGGACAGCCAGGGCCACACAGAGAAATCCTGTCTTAAGGCAAACAAACCAAAAAGAAAAAAAATTTTTTTCATATATTTACAATCTAAAAACTGAGAGTGGCGCCCAGGTCTGTGAAGTCTCCTGCCAAGTGCTGCGTTTTGCTGTGTCTCAGCTCTTCTTTTAACCAATGTTAACTTAAGATACTTTTTAAAACCTAGGCTTGGGAGCAGGAGAGATGGCTCAGCCACTAGGAGCATACACTGCTCTTGCATAGGACACAATTTTATTCTCAGCACCCACATTTGGAACCAACACCTCTGACCTCTTTGAGCGCTGGCATGCATAAGCATACAGACATACAAGTACTTTTAAATTTTAAATTAAAAAAAGCCCAACAACATACTCAGCATGAAGGGCAGATTATCCTAGCTTTTGAGAGCCCCAATAACAGCAATGAATTTAAACAGCTTGTCTCCAGCCAAACAACACAAATATCATTTATTTTTCATGAGCTATATCAAGACTATATTTTCAGCAACTAAATGGAAATATGTTGTCAATTTCTTTTGTTTTTTTATAATTTCTTTTTTGTTTATTTTCTGTTTTTCGAGACAGGGTTTCTCTGTGTAGCCTTGGCTGTCCTGGACCTGGTTGGTAGACCAGGCTAGCCTTGTACCCACAGGGATGGCCTGCCTCTGCCTCCCAGAGTGCTGAGATAATAGGCGTGCGCCATCACACCCTGCCCGCTGTGTTTTTCTATAATTTTATTATCATCAAGTTAACAAAATTGACCACAATGATGAGAGGATGTAGAACAAATTTGTTTCTCATACGGAAGCAGGCCGTAGTCAAAAAGACCCTTATAACTGTTACCAAAATCAGGGCTGGTGAGATGGCTCAGTGGATTATACAGGTGTTTGCAGCCAAGCCGAGGTATGATCCTCAGACCCTCGTGGTGGAAAAAAGAGCCCCCAAGGCACATGTAGCCCTCACACACACAATAACACATAATCAATAAATAACCAATAAATCAACACATAAATAATAAATAGTAATACATAAGTCAACAAACATAATTTTTTAAAATTAGGTTTTTTTCACATCTTAGGCAAATGTTCTGCCACTGAGTTTTATCCCCCAGCCCTAACACTGTGTATAAAATCATCATGGTTATGTCAACCTGCACGATTGAATTGAATATAAGGAAGGTACCAGGTATTGTTTGCTTTAGATTTTTGAGACAGGGCATCTCTACACAGCCCTGGTTGTCCTGGAATTCATTGTGTAGGCCAGGCTGGCCCAGAACTCACAGAGATTCATCTGCCTCTGCTTTCCAAGTTTCAGTTCATCGAGTTTCATTTTCCTTTACAATTAGGAGTCATCAGTCTTTCGCTTTTGTGATGTAGGCGTGTTTTATCTAAGTTAGGGCTCTGTTCTATAGGAAATGTAGGCTTGTTATTCCGTGGCAGTGATCCGAATTGTTTTGCTATTTTCATGACTTTGTTACAGCATGCAAGACGACAGCTTAGAAGCATCGACTTCCATCTCTCAGCTTCTGAGAGAAAGCTATCTCGCTGAAACCAGACATCGCGGGGACAACGAGCGGAGTCGAGCAGAGCCCTCCTCCAACCCTTTCCATTTCGGCAGTCCTGGGGCTGCAGAAGGGGGAGGCCCAGAGGACCTTCCGGATGTTTCCGCCTTTCTGAGCCAAGAAGAGTTAGATGAAAGCGTCAACCTGGCAAGGCTGGCCATCAACCACGACCCTCTGGAGAGAGTGGATGAAGCTCAAGCTAGGAAACGTCTGTCTTCCGACCAGACGAAGCATTCGCCCAAACCAAGTTTCGAACCCACTTTCTGCCAGGACAGCCCCCGAGGCCCTAGCAGCTCTAAAGACAGCTCCCCGGAGACCAAGAGGCCACAGTACAGTTCTGAAGCCCAGTCCAAGAAGGTGTTCCTAAACAAGGCTGCCGACTTCATCGAAGAGCTGTCCTCCCTCTTCAAGGCTCACAGCTCCAAGAGGATCAGGCCTCGGGCCTGCAAAAACCACAAGGGCAAACCGGAATCTCAAAACAAAGCCCTGCAGGAGAACCGCCCCACTTTCTCAGATCTGACGGAAAGGCGAGAAAGGGCGTCGGTCCCCATCCCCATCCCCGCAGACAGCAGGGACAACGAGCTGAACCACGCGATTGAACAGCGGGAGGCCAAGAGGCGGGAAGCGGAGCTGGCTGCGGGCGACGCGGCCACCGGAGACAGCACCCCAGGGTCTTCGCCTTCGTCCCTGTACTACGAAGAGCCTCTGGGGCAGCCTCCCCGCTTCACGCAAAAGTTACGGAGCAGGGAAGTCCCGGAAGGAAGCCGAGTCCAGCTGGATTGCATAGTGGTAGGAATTCCACCGCCCCAAGTAAGGTAAAAGCAGTGTTCAGCAATGCTGTCTGTCTGCCATGGTTGTCGCTCCAGAAAGTCCGTTAACACTAGTACGTGTCCATTTGTGCTAGGGTTGAGGCTGTACTGGTTAGAGCGCTTGCCCTGCGTCATTTCTAGGGCTGGTAGAGCGTTTGTCTGGCTGGCACGCTGGAAGTCCTAGATTTCCCTCAGCACCACAGAAAACCAAATGTGGTGGCACAAGGCTGTACTCTAGCACTCCGGAAGCAGAGGCTAGCGGATCGGAAGTTCAAGGTCATCTTTGGCTGCATATGGAGTTCAAGGCAGTCTGGGCTATGTAAGACCCTGTCTCAAATATGGTTTTTCCTAAAAGACGTATATTTTTAACATTTAAAAAATTATGTGTGTGTATACGGGTAAGGAGGCTGGTGGAGGCCAGATTGAAGTTCTAGGTCGTTCTTAGTTACATAGTGAGCTCGAGCTCAGGGCAGCTTGGACCTTGGCTTAAATAACTTAAAACAAATGGGGCGGCAAGTAATAAGATAATGGCTGATAGCTTTTAAGACAGAATAACACACACCTGTAATCTCAGGACTTGGGGAGGCAGAGGCAGGCAGATCTCTCTGAGTTCAAGGCCAGCCTGGTCTACAAAGCTACAAAGCCAAGGCTACACAAAAGAAGCCCTGTCTTTCAAAAAAAAAAAAAAAAAAAAAAAAAAGAATAACGCTATGGGTAAGGTCAATTTTGTTGTTTGTTTGTTACAAATTCATTCTATGTATATAAAACACTAATCTCCCTAATTCCCAAATCTCTCCCTAATATGTCTGATGAGTAGAGGGGATGTTTTGTGTGTGTGTGTGTGTGTGTGTGTGTGTGTGTATGTGTGTGTGCGTATATTCATAGTATAAAGCAATTGTATTAATATGAATAATTGTATTTCATATATGCATTCTAATTGAAGGTATTCTGCCCCAAAGACATATTCATATATCAAATTCTGCTTTCAAGGGCTGGGTGGTGGTGGTGGTGGACACCTTTAATCCCAGCACTTAGGAGGCAGAGGCAGATGGATCTCTGTGAGTTCAAGGACAGCCTAGTCTATAGAGCAAGTTCCAGGACAGCCAGGGCTACACAGAGAAACCCTGTTCGAAAGACCCATCTCCAAAAAAAAAAATATATATATATATATATATATATTTTTTTTTTCTTTCAAGGGTAACATAAAGCATGCCCACTATTATTTTCACAATGGTGTAGACAGTTTCCTATCAGGTGACCCAGGCGACCTTCACAGCCCTGCTAGTCACTCAGGACTGTTGAATGAATCAAGGAATAAATAAGGGGTGGGGATGACTGTGCCTTTGGGGACATTCACAGTTAGTTCCTGGAGAAGTCCCTTGGACTATGAGGAGCCCCGAGAACCATGAGGGGGAATGCAGACTGAAGCCAGCTCCTAGTGTGGCTTTTCTGCACCTGTCATGGACAATTGATACTGTTCCTGTCATTTGGGAGAGTGAGGCAGAGGACACCACGTGAGTGCTAAAAACAAACAAAGGAAAGCAGGAAAGCGAGAGATTGACCTTATGTTTAAATCGTGAGTTAGACGGTTGGCTGAAGATGTGGGAAAGAGTGAGAACGGTGGTCTGACCTTCTCCTTTAAATATGACTGATGACACTGCCTGGGCCTCTGGTCAGTAAAGCCTGTGAGGTGTCACCCCAGCAGCATGACCCATGCCCCTCCATGGCTTCTGCTCAGTCTATGGAAGCTGTGAGCCCTCAGATTACAGCGTACACACGCCTGAAAGTGTCCAGTCCAGCTCACTGGCTTCCGGACACAGACTTTTTATTTTATTTTTTTAAGTAAAAAAACAATCACTCAAAGATTCATTCTTCCTGTGTCTCAGTCAGGGTTCATTACATTCATTTCTGAATGAACTTGTACTGAGTTTCCTGACTACAGTTGTATGAAGAAAACTCTAATGTTTCCATTTGGCTATCAGCTGTCGCTGTTTTCCTAAGCACAAAGTTTTTACAAGTCTACTCAGAAAGCAATATTTGTTCGGTTTTCAATTTGCTCAGCACCATTGTCAATCAATCTTTCCTTCTTTCTTTCTTTCTTTCTTTCTTTCTTTCTTTCTTTCTTTCTTTCTTTCTTTCTTTCTTTCTTTCTTTCACAGTTTTCCTGTGTAGACCAGGCTAGCCTAGATCTTACAGAGATCTGCCTGCCTCTGCCTCCCTGGGATCAGAGATGTGTACCACTATGCCTGGCTTCATCCTAATTTTTATAGTAATAACCCATGTGCTCTCAGGCTGAGAAGGAGGAAGGTAGAAGGAGGCTGAGGAGATGTAGAGGCATTCTAATTGAACCCGGAAGCCTAAACAGGAGCTAGTTATAAATGGACTCATCTGTTATTCAACAAACACCTATTGAGCCACTAATGCTGTTCAGAGCAAGAGTTGAAAGGGAGCTATCGGAGGTCTGTGACCTTGTTTTAAAACCACATCTAAACCTTTCTGAGAGGGCAACTCATACTCTAGCACAGAAATCAGATGTGTAATCAGAATGCTGCAGTATTGTATAATGAGGGGTGTACAAGGAATGGGGCTGGGGACGCCTGAGTGTGGTCCTCAACCCCACATAAAACCAGGCGTGGTGACACAAGCCTATAAACAACACTTGAAAGGTAGAGGTAGGAGGGTCAGAAGTTCAAAGTCATCCTTAGCTGCATAGCAAGTTTGAGGCTAAACTAGGCTCTATGAGACCCACTGGACCTGGGAGTGGGAACAGGGTAGACCAAAGGTCCAGAGGCAGCTGCTCTCAAAGAGTCACAAGTCCCTGTCTCCTGGAGAACAGAACAGAAGGCAGAAGGCACTAAGGAAGAGGTGGGCGGAAACAATGGCTCCTGTCCAGCCAAGGAGTCCTCCTTACAGACTGCCACAGAGCTGTGCACTGAAATGGAGCTTATGTGACAGAGAAGAAGCTGATCTACCCAGAAAGGAGAGTGGGGCCAAAGGCTTTTTTGCTTTTTGCTTGTTTGTTTTTGTTTTTTAGGTTTTTTTTTGTTTTGTTTTGTTTTCTTTTCTTTTTTGAGACAGGGTTTCTCTGTGTAGCCTTGACTGTCCTGGATTCGCTTCGAAGACCAGGCTGGCCTTGAACTCTCAGATCTGCCTTTCTGATGCTTTTGAATAGTAAAGTCTAGAACAACCTGAAAACTGTCTAAGGTTGTGTGAGCAAGGTGAAATGGAACATTTCGGGAGTGAGTGTGCTTCCGGAAGGAATGGGTTAGATCAGAAAAGGACGACGTGCGGAGGCTTCTGAGGAAGGTGTCCTCGGCATCAGAGAGTCCAGTAGGGTGGGATGCATGCCCTGAGGAAGAGAAGAAAGGAGGCCAGGAACTGGTATTTAGACGAAGCTGAGCTTGGCAAGCGACTGGATAGGAAGAGGGATTTAAGAAACTACTCCCTGTGGAAAGGCTGAGCATCCTGTCGTGCTGGGGAGGCAGTGAGCAGATCCTCGGGGCTCGCTGGTTCCAGGGCAGGGAAAGACCCTGGTGGATACTAGGGTGTTTATGCTCTAGTAAACTGCCCTGCACACAGAAAGGCAGCACTGATTGGACCGCGGAGGGATGTGAAAATTAGAAGGGGGATGTGGTGGAGAGGGTGGTCTGGAAAGAATTTGATGGGGAATGGAGGGCTTGATCTGATCAAAACACATTGTATACATGTATGACATTCTTAAAGAATGACTTGCTGGGGGGTAGGGCGGGACTGGAGAGATGGCTCAGAGGTTAAGAGCACTGTCTGCTCTTCCAGAGGTCCTGAGTTCAACTCCCAGCAACCACATAGTGGCTCACAATCATCTGTACTGGGATCTGGTGCCCTCTTCTGGTGTGCAGGTGTACATGCGGCTAGAGCACTCATATACATAAAATAAATAAATAAATCTTTAAAAAAATGAATTGGGGGGGGGAAAAAGAGTTAGACAGTAACTGAGGAATAACACCTGATGTCAACCTCTGGCCAGCTCAACACACACACACACACACACACACACACACACACAATTATTCCACAAGTTCGAAGTTGGGTACCAGGTGGTTGGGGGAGGGTGGAAAAGGCATCATGGGCCAGGAGTGGCCAAATGAAAGAAACTTTATGGAGGATGCGTATGAGCTTTGAGGCTGAGGGTCTGGAAAGATTACAATTCTCAGTCAGAAATACAGCCAGAGCCAGGAGTTGTGGTGAACCCCTATTTAAGCACTCCAAAGGTGGAGACAGAAGGATCAAGACTACAAAGTTACTTTTAGCTACACATGAGTTGAAGCCAACCTGAGACCCTGTCTCAAAGGAATTAGGACATCCAAAGAGTTAGCCTGGACACCGGGAAGAGCCTGCCTCAGTGTCCTTATATAAAGCTGAGTTGATCTAAAAGGACAGAGGGAGTGTTTGTGTTTCCCTGGTGTTTACAAACAGACTGGCCACACACGGGACAGTGAAGAGAAACTTCTGACTCAGTCCAGTGCTAGAATGGAAAATATTTTCCAACTTTTCTCAGTAACTCTCTCAGAAAAAAAATACCATCCCCCAACACACTTTGAAGATAAGATGAGCATGCTTAGGCTTAAAGGAGCTGCGGCAGAGAGAGCCGGAAACCTTGTCAGACAGCAAAGCTCCCGGAACGTCATGTAGGACCCAGCAACACAGATTTCTGATCCATATGATTCTTCTAAAAGTACGTCAAAGCTGAGCGAGCTAGGGCTGAAATCAGCTGGTACTATCTTTGCCTAGCATTCGTGAGGCCCCAGGTTCAATCCATAGCAAAACATAAATCAGGCATGGTGGTGCAGACCTGTAATCCTAGAACTTTAGCGGTGGAGGCAAGAAGGATCAAACGTTCACCATTCTGGTCAAAGTAGTGAGTTCCAGAGCCACCTGAGACTTTGTCTCAAAAAACAAAACAAAAACAAACAATAGTAAAACAATGAGTCATTTCAGCTTGTCATTAGAAGTATCGTGGTCAAGAA